GATCTCCACAGAGATGCCAGATACTCGGGGAAGAGCCATCCCTGACATCACAGTCTGTATCTCCTGTCAAACACATTCACAGCGCCTTCTCCCTTTCCTTCATTCCAGTCAGTGAAACATCTAGTCTTCCTTGTCTGACTCCCCCACCAGGGTGTAAGCTGCAGAGTTCTGGGGTGAATGGGGAGGGGGGTGGTGACAGGAACATAAAACAGTATTTATAATGTAATGTGAAAGATGCTGTGAGTGAATGGTACATAGAATGCCATTAGGAGAGCCAGAAGAAGTCCACTCACCCTTGGATAGCCCTCCCCGGTGAAGTGGCATTCAAGTTGCAGTTTGGTGGATATTTAATAGCTCATCATGGACAGGCCGTGTGGGAAAGGCATTCTACAGAGGGCAGAGGGAAGGCACAGAGAGAGGAAACTGCAGGATGTATGCAGTCAACACAAGTAGGTCAGTAGCTACAGTAGGTATCCTTGGGGTGGGCAGTAAAAGGGTAGGACATGCCTGACAGAAGAAAAGGGTAGAAAGGTGCATTGGGTCAGATTGTGAAGCATATTGGGTGCCATGCTAAGGAGCTTGGATTTAAAACTGGCAGCAAGGAGCCAGAAGACAGGCTCCCCACTCAATCCAGTCAAGCTAAAATTATTATGTATTTCATACTTTATATAATGACTTAGTGGCAATCTACTTCAGTCATCTACCTGTTACAGCTGAAAAACTGAGGCCTGACCACGCTCTTTATCTTCCCTCTTCCATTTTCTTAACTCATCAGTACGTCAAACCCCAGGGGACAGAAAACTGTGGCAGGGTGGCAGGAAGGCTCTGGAAAGGGTGAGGATGATGAAGCCTCCTCCCTTCTCAGAGAGTGAATAAGAGTGTGGTTCCTGTCCTGGCCTGGGGAGGAGGCCTCTCCAGAACTGGAAAACTTGGATATCCCAGTGCTGACCCAAAACCCCAAATGTGTCATCTCCCTGGGTATGGTGATTGTCTGGCTTGTGGTGGCCTCCTGGGAATGGGCCAAGGACACGGAGCGGAGCGCCAGGGAGTTCCCGCTACTGCACTTACCACCCACTCAAGAGCTGGTGGCAGCCAAGAGGCAACGCACGCCATTAAGGTGTTTGTCAAGAAGCTAAGCTGGGCATTGTGGGCGATCCTGATGGCCCTTTTTAGACTGGCTGTAAGTGAAAAAAAAAAAAAAAGAGTGCTTGGAGGCAAACCAGAGTTAGCGTGGAGGGTGTAGCATGACAGAGAGAACCCTCCCTAGGAGGCAGGGACTCTAGGCTCCATTTCCTCTATCAACTTGCTCTGTGATTTTGAAGTCATTTCTCCCTTCAGATTTTATTTTTCTTTTCTGCAAAACAAGCATATTAAATCAGATGGTTTCAGAGTATGTTGACCAGTGCATTTTCTAGATACCTGAATGGTTAAACCTTCAATTTTGAAAATTTAAAAAATTAGTTACAACTGAGGTGGGCTCCGCAGCAGGGCTGGGAGCTCAGCAGTGTGGGTGAAGGAGGAAGCAGGGCTCTGGTGAGACAGGAGCTGGGGGGAACTGACGCGATGGTAGGGCTCATCTCTGAGGCATCACCACCCCATGATTTGGGCTGTCAGCAGTGACCAAAGATGGTAGCCAATCTCTTGCAAGAGAGTGTGGGAGCAAGAACACAGACAACACCATTGTGAGGATGCTTACTATCTGCCAGCATCTGCTAAATGCTTCGCAGGCATGTATTAGTTTCCTATTGTGGCGGGAACAAATTACCACCAAACTTAGTGGTTGACAACAAAGACTTCTCATCTTAGAGTTCTGGAGGTCACAAGTCTGAAACAGGACTTACCAGGACTAAAAGCAAGGTTTCTGTAGGGCTGGCTTCCTTCTGGAGGCTCTAGGGAGAATTCCTACCTGGCCTTTTCCAGCCTCTAGAGATTGCTCACGTTCCTTGGCTTGCAGCCACTTCCAGCATGGCACCACTCTGACACCTGCTTCTGTTGTCACCTCTCCTTCTCTGACTCTGACCCTCCTGCCTCCCTCTTACAAGGAACCCTGTGATTACATTGAACCCACTTAAATAACCTAGGATAATCTCCCCACCTGAAGATCCTTGACTTCATTACATCTGTAAAGACTTCTTTGCCATGCCATGTGAGGTCACATAGTCATGAGGTCCAGGGATTAGGATGTAGCCATCTTTGCAGGGCCATTATTTTACCTGCCAGTGTATCATCTCACTGAATCCTCCTCACAACCCTTCTCTCATTATCCTCTGTTTAACAAATGAAGAAAATCAACCTTAAGGAAGTTAGGTCATTTGCCCAAGGACAGAGAGAGAGAGAGAATATGTGTGGGAGGGGCAGAGAGAGAGGGAGACAGAGGATCCTAAGCCGGTTCTGTGTTGAGAGAAGAGAGCCCAATGCAGGGCCCAAATCCACAAACCATGAAATTGATCATGACCTGAGCCAAAGTCAGACGCTTAACTGACTGAGCCACCCAGGCACCCTGATCTTAGACCACTCTTGATGCCAATCTACAACAACACAATGGAATCTCAATGCTGAGGTGCTGATGAACCCTGAAGTTAAGGTTAGCCAACGAGATGGGCAGGTGAAGGACCCAGAGATGATGGCAGCACTGAGGCACAGAGAGCAGCAGCTGGCTATTGAGCTAATTTTAATAGAAGGCTTTTCTAAATGGGTGACATACTTCCTGCCTTATTACACTAGAGGTGATAGTGCACACAGCATACCCATTCTTTCATGGCACAGGGTCATCACTCCTGACAGTGATGGGTCCTTACTGCAGTGGTTCTAAACTTTAGCAGGCAACCGAACCACCCTAAGTGCTCATTTTTCAAAAATTCAGATTCCCAGTTTCCAGCCACACATAGTCTGATTTAGTAGGGTCTAGGTTCAGGTTTGGGAATATGCACTTTTTAAAAATGTTTTTATTTGTTTTTGAGAGAGAGAGAGAGAGAGAGAGAGAGAGAGAGAGAGAGAGAGAGAGAGAGAGAGAGAGAGAGAGAGAGAGAGAGAATGAGTGGGGGAGGGGCATAGAGAGGAAGACACAGAATCTGAAGCAGGCTCCAGGCTCTGAGCTGTCAGCACAGAGCCCGATGCAGGGCTTGAACTCACAAAGCAGTGAGATCATGACCTGAGCTGAAGTTGGCCACTTAACCGACTGAGCCACCCAGATGCCCCTATGGGAATCTTTATAATAGTGGTTCTCAATCTGGGGCAATTTTGCCCCCCCTCAGGGAGACTTTCAGAAATGTCTGGAGACATCTTTTGTTTGTCACAGCCGAGGAGGTGATGCTACTAGTATTCCAGTTGAAGGAACTGGGGACTCTGCTAATCATCCTTCAGAGCACAGGACACACCCCCCCCCCTCCCAAACAAAGAATTGTCTGGCCCAAATTATCAACAGTGCTGAGTTTGTGGAACCCTGTTCTACAGCAAGTTCTGACCAGATGACTTTCCCTCTCCCTGAACACTTCCACTCATTTTCACTCAATAAAGATGTCTCCAAACCAGGCCTTGTGCTAGGTGTCAGGGAACAGCAGTGGAGAAGACCGACTATGGGCCCTGCCCTCAGGCACTACATAATCAAGAAAAGGAGACAAGTCACAACATGTGGTTACAACACTGTGTGATAAGAAATGTGATAAGTTCAGAGGTCATGGAAGGCCTCCCCAGAGAGAGGAGCATGATCCAGATAGAAGAAACAACATTTCCAGAGAATGATCCTTCCAGAGAAGGATCGGAACACACTGGAACACAGAGTACTAGGTGGGGAATGGTAAAAGAGGTTGCAGAGGTAGTCAGGGGCCAAGTCATGAAAGCTCTTTGTTTTTTAAAACTGCTTTACTGAGGTGTAATCGACACCCCAAAGCCGTACATATTTAATATATGCAGCTTATGAGTTTGGAGATAAATACATACCTGTGAAACCATCACCACAATCTATGCCATAAACAAACCCATCCCCTCCAGAGATTTACTCCTGCCCTAATTATTTATTATTATTATTTTGTGCTAAGAACACAAGATCTGCCCTCTTAGCAAATGTTTAAAGTATACAGTACAGTATTGTTAACTATAGGCACTATGCTGTACAGATCTCTAGGATTTATTAATCTTGCGTATCTGAAACTTTGTCCCCTTTGACAGAGATCTCTGGTTTCCCTGAAAGCTCTTGAAAGCTCTTGATGGAAAGTCCTTGAAGCCTTGCAGGGAATGGCACTTTCCATGCCCTCTTCCTGGAACTTCCTCACCTCCTTCAGGTCTCCCGCTCAAATGTCACTTCTACAGGGCCACCTTCCCTTCATTCTTTATAAAACAGTTGTCCCATCCCTCTTAGCTCCTCCACCTGCTTTATTTTTCATAGCATTTATTGCCAGATGGTTCTTCCACTAGACTGTAACTAGAAAGGAACAAGAGTGTTTTTGTTTGCTGTCACATCCCAGAGCCTAGTACACAGTGCCTGGTACATAGTAAAATAGGTCCTCAAATACTGAGTGAATGAATGAATGAATGAATGAACGAATGAACAAAGAAACAAACAAATACATCTGATGTTTAGGAAGTAGAACCAGTAGTTCTTTGGTAGAAGATGGACGTGGGCTGTGAAGGAGAGGGTGGAGTCATGGGTCATATGAGGCTTCTGTTGGATAACTGGGTACACGGTGGTGTACCCCACGGCATAGGGGTCACGGCAGAAGGGTATGGAGTTCACTATGATGTGAGATAGGACATCACTTTTTAGGAGTGTGGTGTAGGCCATCCTCGGAGGGGAAAGGAATGCCTCTCTGGTTGTCTGACAATACGGAATGCTTGGTTTCAAACATATCTGCGTCTGAATCCCGCCACTTATTAGCTCTGTGGTTCTGAATGATTACTTAACTTCTCTGAACCTGTTTCCTCCTCTGCAAATTGGAGGTAGGGGTGGGGAGAGGGGGGCTTCCTATCTCATGGGGCCATTGCATTCTAGAATGCCTAGCGCAATGCCAGGTACATAGTTGGTGTTCTTATAACAGCATTATTGTTGTTGCTATAATCAGAACATCTCTGTTTAAAAGTTATTTCCTATAATGAGTCAAGTTCTACGTCCTATAATCTCCTGTGCTAGTCTTAGTTTTGCCCTCTGTGTTAGCCAGAATAATTCTCCTTCCATAGCTGTTGGCTTTAAGAAGACTGGCATGTCCCCTGCAGCTCGCCATTCTCCAACCTAAATATCCTCATCTTCCCAAACAGGACATGGTTCATATGAGTGCTTCCTTCATTCTCCCAGCCCTCTCCCTTAGTCGTGTTCCTGTTTGTCACTGTCCCTCTGCATATACAATGTCCAGAACTGGACTTGGACCTTCTGTAAGTGTGGAGGTCATGCCTTGTTCCTGTTACATCATCACCCTAAATTATGACCTCAGCCGCCCAAACTCTTTGATCAGAGTCTTTTATTCTTTCTTCCTCATTCTAGCCCATGCTTCCAAAGCTGACACCTCTTTCCTGGTCCTTCTTTGTGGACTTCCCCTCTGGCCTTTCTCATAATACCTTCTAGCCCACTGCAGTCCTGATCCGACATCTGATTCTAATCATTCTCCCATTCCTTCTCCAGACCTGGAGACCGGTCTGGGTTGGCCTCACACCCGAACAGGTGCGATGCTCCTGAATACCCCCAGAAGGCCATGCTGCTTAACAGATCCATCTCTCTCTCCTCCCCCACTGGTATCTGTTTTCCAAGAGTGAACAGCAGCACTGCCAGCTGATCTGCTGCTTGCTGCCTCCAATGCCTCTTCTAATGTCACCACCGCCTCTGCTGTCTGCCGCTCTCTTCCCTCTTCGGGCCACATTTTTTCTCCTTGTTATTTTCTGCTCTCTCCTTTGCCTGCCACTACTGAATATCTCAACTTTGGCTTCTCAGGAACCAAAATCCCGCCTTCTGGCCGGCAAACCAATCACACATATTGTCTGCCATCTCTACATCTTTGGTTCAGCCCAGCTATTTTGGTCCCTGCTCGCACTCTGAGATTTTTCTCACTTTCCTCTGGGTTTACACCTCTTTCAGCACTTAAAGGGTGATAGACATCTTAGAGTTGGTTAACTGAGCTATAAAGGTCAGACTTCTGACACAACTGGTGATTGGCTAATGGATCTAGGTGTCAAAAGATGGAAGGTAGGTCATTGTATTTAAAACAGAATGGGGCTTTTTTCCTTTTGTGGATTTTATCTTTTTTTTTTCTTTCAGATAGGACAATGGAGCCCTATTGCCTCATCAAGCAAAGAAGTCAAACCACAATAGACTGAATTTCAGCAAATGTTTTTCTCAGCCTCTAACAGACACCAAGAATTGTGCTTGGTGTTTTCATGTGTATTACTCATTAAGCCTTCCCAGGATGAAATCCCTTCCTTGGTACCCAGGCAATGCCTCCTGGACCCACTGTTTGTTCGTTTGTTGGTTCATTCATTCATCCAGTGATGATCTGTTGTGCCAGGCACTGTTCTAAGTACTGTAGCAAATACAGGAATAAACATGACAGTCTCTGCTCCTCAGGAACTCAATCTAGTGGGGAAAACATATCAACCAACAGGTAGGGTGCACTGTGGTAGCTGCATTTAGAGTGGCAGAGAAGTGAAACAGTGCAGGAGTAAGGATGCTACCCACTAGTTCTGCAAAGAGCTAAGGAAGGTTTACCAATGGAAGTAACATTTTAGCTAGACTTTGAAGGATGGGTTTGCTAACGTGCATAAAGAGAATGGGTTTTGTAGGCAGCAGGAACAGCTTGCGAGTATGCAAGGGCAGGGAATGTTTTGGAACTGGTATGACTGGAGTATAGAAGACTTGCATCAACATCAGGGGCTTCTGCCCAGAGAAGCCAGAGGACTTCCTGGGTCACAGAGTAAGTGAGTTCATTGCAAAGACTGGGTTCAGTGGCAGAAGTTTGAATTGTCTGGTCCCTGGCCTCTTAGCCTCTCTCCCATGTACATGCAGGTCCAGTCTCAATGCTCTGTTCCCTGGCTTAGAGCTGTCAATGACCAGCCCCTCCCTCTCCCATTTCCCTTCTTAGTGGTCTGCCCCTGAGCTCTGAGGATTGTTCCCAGTGAACCTGGGAGGGAAGCAGAACTTAGAGAAGGCTGATCCATTCTAGTGTTTGGTCCTGACCCGGACATTTGCCTGGGACCAGAGTCCTTAGATCCCATCTCCTGATGCTGCAGAGCTAAATTCTGTGACCTTCATAGCGCATCCTGTTTGGCTTTGAGCCACTCCTTGCTTGTGTATCCCAGAAAAGGAGCTGGGTAAACCAGGTTGCCCTTTACCGAAGAGGAGCTACTTTCAATTCCCCAAAGTGTTCAAAGGCTTAAGAGTAGGTTTATGCCAAAAGTTTCCTTATCTCTGGCCATAAACAGTAATGAGAGCAGGAGGGGAGAAGATTCTTAATCCTGTGCTAGTTCAGAGGTGGGTGCTCAAAAAAATCCTCAGTTGGCTGCTTGGTTTCTCAGCAGTATCTGTCCAAAAATTCCCACGCATTTCCCAAATGCCATAATTCATTTTAGTTGGATTTCTAGAGAATAGACTCCACAGATAAGAAGGAATTTGATTTATTTTAGATTTGTACCACACCTCTTTCTGAAAGGGTTTGAGACAGCGTACAGGTTGAAACAAGGTTTTTAAGTAAGACTTTTAAGGACGAAATAAAACTTGTGGTGAAAAAGATTAAGAAAGTAAGTTACTTCCAAGCATAGCCATGTTCCATATTTAAGCCATACTTTTGGTTGAAAGATTCTTTGGGGAAAAGGCCAAGAGGGGAAACCACTGGGTGACACAGTGTCCACTTTCTGAAACCAGAAAGCATACAGCATCTCCATAGGGAAGGGGCTCCTGGGTGGCTCAGTCGGTTAAGCGTCTGACTTCAGCCTAGGTCATGATCTCGCCATTCCTGAGTTCAAGCCCTGCGTTGGGCTCTGTTTGACAGCTGAGAGCCTGGAGCCTGTTTCAGATTCTGTGTCTCCCTCTCTCTGCCCCTCCCCTACTCATACTCTGTCTCTCTCAAAAATAAACATTAAAAATTAAAAAAAAAAAAAAAAAA